AGTTTGTGCTTAACAAATCAATCACAATCATAAATTAAATGAGCCCATATCTTGATATTAAGACAATCAATAACACACACACACACACACACTCTCTCTCTCTCTCTCTCTCTCTCTCTCTCTCTATATATATATATATATATATGTGTGCGTGTGTGTGTGTGTGTGTGTTTAAAATATTCATTGTCACATAACACATCACAAAAAAAGATATGATCTTGATCCTTCATAAGAAAATGCCAATATCATGGCCTTTTACATCATTTAGATTGATTTTTTTCTGGGCTATTGAAGCCTATTTACAACTATTCATCTTTTTACGAGAAGTTGCCCAGATTAGGGCAATTCAACTTGCCAGTGAAGGAGCAACAACGTTAATAAACAACTATCTGCTTCATAAGTAGCGAGCTTCACTTCCATAACTATACCCTAATTTGTATTAAATTTCCTCACAAACAACTATATGCAAGTAGGAAATAATCGCGAGGTATGAGATTGTTGCATCGACAAATGAATGATATATGATACTACTTTCAGAGGCGAGCTCACCATGGAGCAATCAAATCTCAATGAATAGTCATGCAACACGTTCTTCTATATTCCTAACCTCTTTCATAGTGTAATCCTTAAGAAAAGTTATAAATTACAACATCAGGTCTTTGATTAACTGACTTCTCTACAACAAGGCACTAGAGTATTAAAGACTCAAGCTCAAAAAAATGAGATAAAAACATAAAATGCATGCATCTAGTTACAAAAAATCAACCCTTTGGGTGTAACTATGCTGAAGCCTTTTTAGTCATTTAAAGGGTTAAAAATTTATCCTCAAATAATGATGTTTGGGATAAAAATCATCGGCAGCTTGGGACCAGGATTTGGAACTGGCGACATGGGCATCTATTATAGAGCCATTCGATTTATATTGGCTTTCAAGACCAAAAAAAAATCTCCGTGCTCCCCACATAATGATCCAATAGTTCATTTTCCTATACGGGCTTTGAACTCCCATCTTCATCACTCTTGTCTTTTGAATTTTGGGACCACCTTACAATGTTTCCCTCTTTCCAGCCTTCGATGCAGGATTGCCTTTAGCCATTCATTCAAGATATCCATCCATTCTTTAGAAATCTTTCCCATCAGAATGAAACAAAATAATGGTGAACTCTTAAGAGAAAATAAATGAGCACATTAATAAATATTTTATATTGTAGTTTCAACAAGGATTTGAGTGAATGTTATATATATTTTATGCGGAACGAAGCAAACACAAGAAACCCTAATTATAACCATTAAAATTAATTATGTTATTATTAGCTTTATTTCTTACTCTTATGACACTGCAATGACACATTACAAACCATTACAAATACCTATTTTATACTTATTGCAACTGATAAAATATTCATTCTTTGACAACGAGATAAGCCTATATCAATGCATACTTCATAACAGGAAAATTTTCAGCCCTTCCTACTTTATTCTACTATTTCTTAGGAGTGTTAACCTCCTGGTGATCGTAACAAGTCACCAAGATGCTTCCTTGTGTGAGACATCTTGATAAGAATAAAATCTCTTGCAACCTAGATGGGTTATCACGTTGAAATATATCAATTTTGTCACCTAAAGCAATGATTGTTGAATAAGGCACAATTCGTACTTTGCTCAAGAGAAATCTCAACTACTCCCTATTGTAGTAGCAATAGTAACCCATAAAGTGGAAAGCTCAGGCCCATCAATGAGCTCACTCATGACTGTCTTTTAAAGCTAAGATAATAAGACTCAATGGTGGTGGAAAACATTATTTCAATCAAATGTTTAACAAACCTATTTGTGCACCTAAAAATCGTTTGCACAAACTTTGGGACAATCTAACAGTCTAAATAAAAAATAGATGCCAAGAATATGTCAAAAATCAATTTTGAATATAAAAATGCATCATAAAGACCTTTAACTTCTCTATTAAAGCGAGAAAATAAGAAAATAATAATAAACTATAAGTCCCCAATTAAAGCAGAGGCATGTATATAAATTTATACTTGGTCTCTCTATCTTCTATAAATAAAAAATCACACAATCTATGAGGGTCATTTTTGCTCTTTTCTTTTCACCCATCTTCTATAAGGGGATCTATCTCTCATTCTCTTGTAATATGTTTATTATATATATATATATATATATATATAATCGACTAAAGAGCTAGAAGATATCCTAGTTCGTCCATATTGGATAAGTCTATGCGTACTATTTTATTTCTCTTCCCTTCATTGTCTCTTACTTTTTCTGCCTCACGGTCCCCGCCGCCCCATTATTTGGGCATGCCTCACATGACAAATTTATATTCAACACTATTGCGGAGTCCCGATCATACAAAACACTCGTTCTGATTTTATCATTTCTTTGACGACCCATAAAGATGACATATTCTCAAATTATATTTTTCTCTCTTTCTCTCATTATTGTTGGAGTATTCTATCAAAGAGTTAAGATAATTAATGACCTAGTTGTATATACAAAAATGAATTTCCTTAGCATCAAGATAAACCAAGTATTAAATAAGCCCAATGGGCTTCATGGACGGAGTCCGTTAACCACACACTTGATGTCTTAAATTTGGCTGGGCCAATTGTAGTGGCAACAAGCTGCCAAGTTATTTGTCACTTAGTGAGTACTTCTGAAGCTCTTCGACATTCATATTTGATCCTTTGCTCGGGCTCACAAATCTCACGCCTTCAGGCGAGCTCCTCTAGCTGAGTTCGCTTTTACTTCTAGAGTACTTTTACTAAGCTCGCAGTACCAGTAAAACACTCTCATTGAGCTTACAGACACCTCATAACTGCATCTCCAAGCTTGATGAGCACTTCTTTAAAACAGAAGGAATAAAACTTCATTCCATCATCATACATATATATATACATACAGCCAAAAGAAGCCTAAAGCTAAAGATAAATAGCAAACTTATGAAAGAAATGGATTTCTTTAAAAGCGCTTTATGAAAGTATTACAGAAAAAAATAAAATGACTTTCTAACTTTCTGCAAAATGGAAAGCACTAAAAAAAACTCCTTCCAATAAGGCTAAGAGAACGAAACTATGTTGTAAAAGAGAAAGCATGTCAGCAAGCAGAACCAGTCATGAGAAAGATATACAAACACAAGTACTAGGAATGCGAGCATAGCTGAGAAATACATATATATATATATATATATATATATATTTATTTATTTATTTATTTATCAGATGCCTAACATCCATGCATATGATATTATCAACGATGGGTTTCTGTAGGCTTTGTGCAATAGGACCTATAATTTAATATTTGATTTTAGTGCCATTTGTGGGCACATACATTCTTTGATGCATAAAAATATTTGATTTTAGAGCCATTTGTGGGCACATACATTCTTTGATGCATAAATAAAAGATAAAAAGATAAAGGGGGAGACGTGTGTGTGTGTATATATATATATATATATATTCTGGACATGATTGAGGGAAAATGTCTCTCTAAAAGACTCAACATCCTTCCATTTCTTTTATAAATATCTACCGTAAGATTGCTATTGAGCCGAGCCGGGCCAAGTATATCATGGTTTAGACTTGGCTTAGTATAATTATAAACTGTTCATGTTCGGTTTGAGCTTGCGTTTAACTTTCTTATATTGGAAAAGCTTGAATTGTTTAAAATTTTTTAATGTTTGAACTTGATTTGTTTATGACAGGTGAATAAGTATCTAAACGAGCAAATAAACAAGCTAAAATTCAAACGTGTATCTATATTTTCATATAAAAATTTCAATAAATAATTTTACAAATATAATCACACATACTAATTTATCACATATGAACTCTGTAAAAATAAAAAGGTAATTCATGGACTACAATCATATGAGATGTAATATCTCATATTTTAGCATGATCATACTTCCAAGTTTATACCTAGTGCTCACATTCAAATGTTGGTATTGCTTTTTCCCATAACAATATACATGCCATTTTTCAAGTTTTTTTTCGATAATTTTGTAGATATTTTTTACATTAAGTTGTTGCATTATGCTTATTCTTGATCATGCATAACTTACACTGATTGCAGTGCACATTCTCCACACCACTTTTTAATTGAGTAATACTTGTGAGAAAAGTGGAAATATGAGATATAAGAGAGACTAAAGTTTCAAAAATCCTTGCAAGTCGAGACATCGTCGTTGTCTTTAATGCTTGCATACCCTAACAACTAAGGGTTTCATATGTTTCTGAAAGGCCAAAGAGAAAGTGAGGTTTGCCGGTCTAAAGTTAATTTTAAGGGGTATTTCATACATACCACACCAGTCTTATGTATTTTCATATCTAATACTTAAAAATTAAGTAAATAAATATATAAATAATAATCATATATTAATAAAATAAAAATATAATTAAGAATTAATCTAAAGAATATTAATATAATAATATATTACAATTAAATATATAATTAAATTGATTATAACTAATTAAAATTTATTTAAATAATATATCACATGATACGAGGTATTATCAAGTTTAATATCAAGCCTTCAAACAAGTCACTTGTTATGAAACAAATGAGTTTGTTCTTAAATATAAATGAACATGTTCGAATATGTTCATGTTTAATTCATTTAAACTCAGAGCTTTTAAAAATTGTTCAAATTTGAACAAACTTGATCGAGTCTCAATCGAGCTGAGTTCGAGTTCTTCATTAAGTGCATTGGTTCATTTACAACCCTAATCTCCTGGATTGCATGGATTCCCTTTTATTCGAGATCATACATTTTTCATTCATTAAGTGCATTGGTTCATTTATAACCCTAATCTCCTGAATTGCATGGATTCCCTTTTATTCGAGATCATACATTCATTCATCATAGAAAGGATTGAAGGATATGAAAGATATATGTGGTATAATATTAAAAAATCAAATTTAAATATTAGACATGTAAATAAATAAAATGTTGATTGGTATGTATGTAGATGCCCCAAAATAAAATGTGTAGTCCTACCCGTGAACCAGCAGATCAATAATGTCTGCCGAACTCGGGAGTAGCGAGTCCACGGAAAGAGGGGGATGCAGCACAAACGAAATAGTCCTGTTCGTCGTCCCTCCCGCTGCCCTTTTCTTGTTACACATCGCCGGCGCCACCATTAATCGTTTGCGGGGTTTCGATAGAGCTTCTTTTGCTCGAATGAGCTGCTAATTCGGCTTCTTGTCCCAGCGGGCTAGCAGTGGTGGCAACAATGACGGCTAACAGGACTAACAGTATGGGCAGCGAGGATGAAGTGTACGCTCTTGTTCAAAGGTTTATCTACTCCCCCTAAGACCCCCTCACCCAGCTTTTAACTCCTTTTGATTAAATCCTCACCCAGCTTTTCTTGATGGGAGATTGGCTTTTGCTATATCCGTTTTCTGAGTAGAGAATTATAAGCTAGATTTGGCTTTCCATTGATGTTTGAATACTTAGTTGAGAAGAGTAAAGATTAGCTCGATAGACTGCAATGCTTGAGTTTTTTTTGCTACGTTTATTGGATAGATCTCGTGAGCTCTTTATGGGTTTCGATTGCTTAGCAGTGTTTGTGAGTTTATTGGAAAATAGTTGTTGAAAAAACTATATTAAGCCCCATTGCCGGCTGTACGTAGTAATGTTTCATTTGTTAGGGTTAACAGGATTTCGGGGAGGAGAGTCCTGTTTTGGCTCTTAAATATCCTTCTAGCAGTACTACAAGTTGCAATCACCAGTCCTCAAAAGCTGATTCTTATATGCTTTCAACCATATGGGGCTGTTTGGCTGAAAATATATTTAATTATTGTCGGATTTAGTAAATACTGTAAATCCTGATATATTAAATCCAAAGAGGGTTAAATTTTGAGCTCTGCTTGGCATTACTCACTTTAAATCTAGCTAAATCATAGCAAACTGTTTGACATCTTATTTCAGGAATTAAGTTTATGCGAGGAAAAAGATGAAAATAGGAGCCTGCTTGAGCACTTTCACTAAATTGATGTGGTTTAAGTTTACCCTCTTTGCTAGACCATTCACTAAAAATCCAATGCAAAAGTATGGGAATCACAAACAAAATATTTGTGCCGCTTCTAATGTGTTTAAGGGAATGAATTCTATTTTCTAAGCATTAAGTAGAGCTACAAATAATCTGATCATTTTGGAATTGTTTTATTTATATTTTTCATATAATAAACATAATATTGGTAATCCTTCAAGTGTTGAGATATATCCCATGCATCTCCTACCAATATACCCACTACAAACTCTCGAATTCTTTCCATCCATAATCTTTTGCCGAAGCCTACCAATTTCTTTGTTGATGGTTCATTAATGCTCCATCACCGTATTTCAATCATAGGTTCCAGTGTCATTGGCTTTGTAGTCATGCGGGAGCTCAGATGTGATGACCTCAACATCTTTGCCTTTAAGCATGGTGCCATCACGGTTGACGCCCGGGATTACACTTCACAATTGAATCAAATCCACTGGGCCTCAATCCCCAATTGACAAGCGGCTCACTCCATCCTCCACGACTGCTTTACACCAATCTCTTGAGGGAATGCATGGGTTTTTTAGATTATCCCTTCGTTGTTTTGATCTGAAACAATGATTGTGATTTCTCTATTTTTAATGGAAATCGTGGGCCGCCCTTTGCTATCTTGAATGTTTTGAATGTTGAGATCAAGTAAAATTGAGATTTGTTGTGAAACATGGAGTTAACAATACTCATGATTTTGTAAGATTTATGTTCTTCATTTCACTCGTGGAAAATATTGAAGTTAAATATGACTTAGGCCTGAATACTCAAAAAATTGTTGTGATAATACGGGTCTATATACTATATTTTTTATTTTATTTACCCTGTAATTGTATAGGAGAATCATTTTTGTCATCATCAACCCTATCCCTACTATTTTGGTCAGCTTGTGAAATCTCATTCTTAATTCATCATGATTGAGTGTTGTTTGAGGTCTTAAATCTATTTTGTATGAAATTTTATTTCTTATCTTCTTGTTTTATCCTTGTATCTTCAAACCTTTCCACCTAAACTGCCTAAGTCTATGAAATAATTTTGTCTTTATGGGTACTACAAGCATGGTCCTTTTAAAAAATCATTTATTAATGTATCTCTCATGGTTTTATTATGCATTCATTTATTCATTTTTATTTTCTTTCACAATCAGCTTGAATAACTTTGATTTATTTATCACCTAACCCTTGGATCCATATGATTTAGTTAATCTATTCATAGTTTTTAATCTAATTTATTTTAATACACCTATAATATTATGTAATCACATAATACTATTGAAGTACTTATCTATTTTGTCCAATTAGTCTTAGTTTTAGAAGTGAGATCCTTATTCACCTCTTTATTCATTTGTATGATAAACCTTATATTATAAAACCTATCACTTAGATAGAAGTCATATCTTCATTCATCTTCTCTCATTTTGTATAATAGATCCAAGGTTATGAAACCCATTACTCGGATAATGCCATTTTCTTATAGCTATAAATGGGTTCTTGCGTGGATTGCACTCTGGGCATCCTTGCGCCACCTTTCATCTTACTCCTCTCACAATGTTTCTATTATATTAATGGACTTTCGACACACATGTTAAAATGACCCTCCTCCAATTTGATTGCTTCATGGAGCCTCCTAACAATAATTTGTATATCATTTCTATGACTTTGTTTGCACTATTTCAACTACTTTATCATATTTATCTTGTTTTCAATTTTTGGGAAATCATTACAGGTGGATGCTACCATTCCACATTTTCTAGGCTCTCTGTAATTGGAGCCTTCATGGAATTGGACATTACTGCCCTTTTTCTTAAAGAGGTGTTATTGAGCTTCTTTTGTTTGTATATTAGCTGAATGTGGAATTTATAAATATTCCTACATACTGCTTCTCTTGTCATAATTTTGGAAATTAAAATTTTTATAGTTTAAAGTCTCATCCTGATATAAGAAATCCTTAATTTCATTTGCAAAACCTTTCATCTAATGCTCATATCGGTTCCTCTAACACTTTGGTGGAAGATTTTCCCTCATTTGTCATGTATATTCCTGAAACTTGAATTTAGGTTCACTTTCTCTTTAGAAAGGAGGTTATTATTTTTGTTCCTTCTAGCTCCTTGATGTCAATCACTTTATCAATTGCTAATACTATCATTGAAGATATTTTGTAAGTACTTGAAATGTCTCATCATCTTCTTATCGGCGAGCGAAACAATTTTTATTTGTCTGTGTAGGGATGGAAAAAACCGAGCTTCAATCGGTTTCCAATCGAAATCAAACAACAGAAAATAGGATCACACCCAATCGAGAAATCCAGAATTAAATACTGAACATAATGTGAAAAAACCAAAAAAAGAAAAAAATTATGGAGCCACATCACAAAAAAAAATTCACTATGAATGTGAGGAAAGTACAAATTATGCCACTCTGAACTTACAAAAATTCGCTCTAAATACTCTTGATCGTACAAGAGAAATTACATGCCACTCCTTCTCATCAACTATTTTCCGCTACATGAGCTCTTTCGAGAATACCTCATGTGAGAGATAATTCTTGTTGCTCTGAATCAAGGGCTTTTAACTCTCGAATCGGGAGAAAACCGTTAGTGACAAAGTTACGACCAATGTAGGTCTAAATATTTTGCTCGCTCGGGAAGAAAACCTTGAAGAACCCACGGGATTGATGTGCACAAAGGTGCTGTTGCATGCTTCCTCACAACTGTGTGGGTGCTTCCATACTCCACACCTCAATAATCTGCATTAATTCAACTAGTCTATCATATTTACCCTGGTTTCAATTTTTGGAAAAATATTACAGGTGGATGTTACAACTCCACTTTTTCTAGGCCCTCTGTAAATAGAGTCTTCGTGGAATTTGACACTTCTGCCATATTTACCCTGACTTCCGGACTCCACAACTCAACAATCTGTACTACTTCAACTAGTCTATCATATTTACCCTGCATACAATTTTTGGAAAAATATTACAGGTGGATGTTACAACTCTAGGCCCTCTATAACTAGTCTTAATGGAGTTGGACACTGCTTCCATTTTTTATAAAGAGAGATGTGGATTGTGTCTCCATCATTCCCCATTTTTCACAAAGAGATGTGGATTGTGTCACCATCGTTTGGATATCTGAATGTGGAATTGATAAATATTCAACATATTACTCTTGTCATATTTTTGGAAATTAAAATTTTTATTGTGTGAAGGCTCGTTCTAATATGAGAAATCCTCAATTTCATTCACAAGACCTTTCATTTGATGCTCATATTGGTTCTTCTAACACTTTGGTGGAAGATTTCCCCTAATCTATCCATGTATATTCCCGAAGCTTGAATTCAAGCTTACTTTATCTTTAGGAGAAAGCTATCATTTTTGTTCCTTCTAGCCTCTCGATGTTAATCACTTCATCAATTGCTAATACTATTATGGAGAATACTTTGTGAGTACTTGAAATGTATCATCAACTTCTTATCATTGAACAAAACGATGATTACTTGTTACTCTGTATTTTTTATGTTAATTGGAGCATTCAAAGTGTTGACGCTTTGTTAAATAAAATGTTTAAAATTTTTTATACCATAAGGGGCTAAAATTAGAAGAAACTTTATTGTCGCTCTTTTATTTTTACTACCCTCTATGATAAATGTTTCGAATAAAATCATTATTATACTTTTCTATCCTATTCTTTTTTCTTGCTTTGATATTTTTTGCTAGATCTCCTTAATGTGCTCATCTCTTATTTTATTAATATAGTTAAAAATAATATTTATAAATGGGCAAACCTCTGTAAGATAGTTTTTCTTTATGCATCATAACAATCCGACATAATTGTTGGTGATATTGTTTCTTTTTGGAATTAGTGAGCAGTGATTTAGATTTTAGTAACATGATCTTTATCTAAAAGTTTGAATGGCTTATTTTGAATTAAAATTTATATTGATATATTTTTATTGTATTATTTAATACCTGAAAATCAATTATGGAGATGATTTTTATACCAAGGAAACTAATAGAAAAGTATAAAAAGCAAAGAAAGTATTTTTGTTAGTACTGAGAAGGTATATTATCAAGTATCATGAGAGTTGATTTGATTTTTATTAATAAAAAACTTGGTCAAAACTATATTGAAGTTGTTAAATGTATGATTGATTCAACATTAATTAATATGAGTGGTTGTCAAATGACCACAGAGTTCTCATTCAAGCATCAAGTATTAGCTTTAAGTTTGTATTAGCTATGGTGATGCTTACAAATTATATTCT